TCCATGTGCCTCAGCATGGCTTCTTTTCCTTCCACTGTTTTTCCTCTTAGTGTCCTTTTTGAAGACATGTAAACTCTTAGCATCCAGCATGTTCTGGGGTGGGGAGCCTTGCTCTATAGCCGTGCATTCTGTGGAGTATCACCTTTTGCTCTTTTTGAACCTACCAGCTGTCTTGATTTAATGCCCCACAGTTCTTGTGTCAGAAATGGTGAATACTCATATTCTAGGACACTGATACATTTACAGGCCCCTGTCATTCACCTCGTCCACAGGATGATGGACCCTAGTTCATTCAGCCTTTCCTCACAGGGAAGATGTGCCACAATTTGAGCATCCTTTCGGCTCTGCTCTGTGCTTTTTTTCTGACTTTGCAATGGTTTATGTAAGGGGAAGGGAGAACTGCACTTAGTTTTCAAGCCACGAGTGCAATATTGGTTTAGACACTGGTATAATGACACAGATTGCTCTAGCTTTCTTTCTGAATTGTTTTGTTGTACTGATTACATATTTCTCAGGGCCTAAAATCAATGGAAATATGCATTACATTTTTAGTCAGACTCGTCTAATTAATCCTCAGGACTTCAGAGTCTTGACTTAGTGGGATTTCAGTGGTTCACAGGCTGGCTATAGTCACTAGTGAGCATCATCCTGAATACACCTGGTGATTTCAGTATCATATGCAACCTGGTGTACAAGGCGGTGCTGAGCAGATCAGCAATTTCCTTGCCAGGCATCACAGGTGCACAGCTGTCCTGCAAGGACATGGCATGGCCATGCCACTGCCATGATACCAGATTAGGGCACAGGTTTGCAATGTGGGGCATGTCCGTAGCAGAGGTGGTGTTGCAAAGCTATGCAGCCACAGCCAATGATGTCTGGCTGAGGCCACACGCTCTCTCACGTGGCTCCATGGCTGGGGCACTCAGTTTTGGGCCCCAGACCTGGGGGATGTGGCATTTCAATCATGCCCATCTCCACCATCGCTCAGACATTCTAGATTTATTTCTCTGCCTGGATTGCTCTATGGTGGGTCACCACAGGCTGTGACTTCCCTGCAACCATACTGGTCCTGGAGCTTTCCTTGCAGACTGGGTGTTGGGATGAAGAGGAAATGAGAGTTGAGGTGTTTGCTATGTGCTGGTAACAACCAGGTCTGAGCCTGTTCTTCACAGTCTGTGTGACCATGGCTCCTCAGAAAGGTGGCTGTGGAGCAAGGCAAAATTATCCCCCTTTTTCTCCAGGAAAGCAGGTGGGCATGGATAGGCTGCCCTGACGTGCACCAATCTACCCAGTGCCAGTCTATCAGACCCAGTATGGCCCCCCACTAAGCCTGCTACACTAACACAGGATACCTTTTTTCTCTACTTTCCCACCAGGGGCTTTGCCCAGCGCTTCCCAATTCATCCGTGCTCGGCCAGGGCGGAGGCTGCCCTTCCTGCTCCCCCAGCCCCTGAGCAAAAGCAGCCGTACGCCTGAGTCGCGATGGGCAAGATGGACAACACCTCTGTGGAACTGAGCTCTCCCTCCGAGGTGAAGCAGGCAGCCCTGGAGGAGTCAGCGCCCATCGCCCCCGAGGCTGGGAACACCAAGAAGAAGAAGGAGATCCCAGACAGAGGCTCCTGGAAGGGGCGATTTGACTTCTTGCTGTCCTGCGTGGGCTATGCTATCGGCCTGGGCAACGTCTGGCGCTTCCCGTATCTCTGCGGCAAGAATGGAGGAGGTGAGAGAAACACCCAGCGTCCGCGCTCATCCCATAGCAGCCTTGTCCCCGGCACAGGCTTCGGTTTGGTGTGGGTCTGGGTAAGCGTCTGGCCACCTGGCTGAGAGCTCTTCCTCACAGTGGGAATTATTGAGCTGTCAGGAGACTAGTTCCCATGGTCTGGGAAATGCATATTAGCAAATGCAGGTTGGGATGAAGCTGCTCAAGGAAATACAACAAGAATTTTGAGTTTTGTCAAGCTTCTGCAGTCCGAATTTGCAGGGCTATGGCAAAGAATGCCTCGCAACTCATTTATTTACAAGCTGGGCTATGCACATAGGAACCCAGCTGGATGCTGGGGCGTTCCCAGAGAAACCAGTTTATATCTGCCAATGGTGGGTTTCTCCTCAGTCTAGTGTATTCTCACGGGGTAACAGTTTTGCCTCTGAGTTTGGGTCACGTGTCTAATGGACCATAGCAGGGCCATATAGATGCATATACAAGACATATACGTCTTGTATACGTATGTACATGTGCACGGGCATGCAGGAGTGTCATCATCTGTGTAAGGAAATGAGTTTTGACTTACTGTGGTGAGAAGGGTCACAGTTATCATCTCCATCCTAACGTCTGGAAAACAGGCCATGAGAGAAGGTGGCAGCTGGCGAAGGACTTACAGTAACTGTGATGCAGCTGGTAGCAGTGACCTTCTCTGTGGGCCAGCTTTTTATATTCTTTTTATTACGGCCCCACTCCATTCTTTCCTTACCAGTCGTCAGCTGAGACTTTGCCAAACCGTTGCAAGGCTAGAGAAAGGCAGGCAGATGGGGAAACAGCGCTGGGCTAGCAGTCGAGATCTGAGAGATCAGCTACAGACTTTCTGCATGCCCTGGATCAAGTCAGGAAATACACTCTTCTGCCTCAGCTTCCCTCTAAAATGGTGCTATTTCTTCACCCTTGGCAGAGAGATGCTTTTGTGGAGGGGATGATAGGCTACCTTGGTGTCAGCAGAGCACAGGCTCTTTCTTCTCCCCACCCATGCCCAGCTCCCTCATCGCTTGTGCCTGTTACTAAAATAACCTTCCCTCCTCCCTGCAGCGCTGCTCACCTCCTTGAACCATTTCTCAGACTTCCCACACAAGTCCAAACCCCTTCGCCTCACCTTTCAGGCTGTATGTGTAATTTTAGTATTGCCTGCTCATCTTCCCGTGCTGCTTTTTGCTTCCCTCCTAGCTCTTCAGTGCCCAGAGGCCCTGCCCCCAGTGCCAACGTCCGTTCACGCGGCTCTGAGGGTCTCATCTCACACCTCTCCACACCTTCTTCCTTGGATTCCTATTTTAAAACCCGCTTTGTCTTTGACTCTCATGACTTCTCCTCATATTGCCAGCCCACTTCTGCTGTCCACATTGCAGGGGGTGTAGGATGCTCCTCTCCTCCCACCCTGCAGAAGGGGAGAGGGGTCTAGCGTTAGCCCGGTAGCTAATTCCCAGCGCTGGCTTTTAGTCCAGTCTCTGCCCTGCCACGGCTGTGCCATCTCAAACACACTGGATCTGCTCTGCCCATGGCTCTGTCTCCTCACACATAAAGGTGAGGATGAGAATAGCTATAATTAGATGAGGAGTGTTTTGAAGCTAAAATCAATCCTATTTATAAATTCAGCTGAGACCTTTGGACGGAGGGTGCTGTGGAGGTGCGGAGCGCTATTATTAGCAGTAGCAATGGCACACGGGCTGATCTCTGCCCCGGCGGCTGCCGGCACGCAGAGGGATCTGCCGGCTGCGAGCAAAAACACCGGACGGATGAAATGCGGGAATCGGTGCCTGCCTCCTCTCACGCACCCTGCCTCGCCTGCCGGTTCACGCTGTATCGCTCGTTCCTCTCACCTCTACCCGCTCCGGCTCTTCACGGGCACAACTGTTCCTGCAGCCGGCAATAACGCGCGGTGAGCGGAGGCTGCTGATGCCGGAGACAGCAGAGCTGACGCACAACAGCGTCACCGGCTGCCGATGCGGAGCAGCAAGGAAGGGTCGTGTGGCATCTGCTTGGCAACTGGGTGGGCACCGTCTTGGGTCTGCCCCGATGGAGGTGCCTCCGGAGCAAAGCAGACTGTGGGTGGGACGCTAATTTTAGCGTCCTGCATGCGCGCTGCTCGGAGCACGGCCGTGTGGGCTGCTTCCATTACGCACAGGCAAATTGAACTGAATGGAAATATTGTCGTCTCACTTACCGCTGTCACATTGTATCAGCTCACGGCTGATTTGCTCGGCATTGTAAGCGGGCACGTAATTAGGGGATATTCGCCCAGGGTACGGCAGCTTGGAGCGAGGCCCGTCCGCTGCGGGGAGCAGGCTTTACCCAAAGTGATGCCGGGGCTCGCTGCTGGCTCTGCACGCAGCTCGATGTGCCTGACTATGACTAACACTCCAGCCTCTACATTGATTTCTAACCTCATGCAGTCCTTCTGATGTCAACAGGATTTTACCGGACTCTAAATCGACTCTAAATGTGGCTCAGTAGGTGCTAAAAATTGTCTGTGAGATCCTGAGCTTGAATAACTTGAGAGAAGAACATTTCTTTAAATAAGCAGCATGCGTTTCTCATTTACACATTGAGACTCCAAGCAATAGCATGTAACAGCTTGTAATGCTCAGCTTTTGATTCGTGGGCAGTGTTTGCCGTTTTAAGGATTAATTATTATTCCTTGCTGTATGGCATTAGGAGCTGGAGGCTGCAGGCAGGTTTGGGGCTGCACGGTGAGTGCCGGGCATTGTGTGATCTTTCCCTGCCTCTGAGGGACGGTGCCCTGAGCAGGCAGGGCAAGACCAGTGCCATCACCCCTTTGACCCACGGACTTTGGAGACAGGTTTGGATGCTCCCGAGGTCACACACAGTCATTTGTAACAGGTCCAGGAACTGAACCAGACTTTTCAGCAGCCCATTCAGGGCCAGAGATTAAAGACTACCCCTTTCTCTCTCTTCCAAGACTTTAGGCACAGGAAAGCAAATTTCAGGTACAAAAATTGCAAACAGATTTCATCTCTGGCTGCACAGCACCCGGGAATGTCAACTTTGCCTGCCTGGGGACCTGACCCTCCAGAGTGGCAGCGTCATTGCCAACAGCCCTCATTTCAAGGCTGCGGTCTGGTTTGTAGCTTTTCCCCTATTCTAGAGGATTTTTGTCAAGCCAGGATAAATGACCTGGGTCCAGAAGTTTGTCTGGGTTTTTTTTGTGTGTGGGTTGGTGTTTTTTTTGGTTTTGGGTTTTTTTTTTTTTTTTTGGGCATTTGTTGTTTTCCTCAATAGCCCAATAAAATCTTTCACCTACAGACCTTCCTGGCTTGCTGTAGATGAAAAATGTAGGATCATCAGGGCTGCGGCCAGTTTTCATTAGCTGCTTGCCCAGAAGCAAGCCAGGCACTGTGACTGCTGATAAGCTCAGTCTCCAAATTCTACAGTGAGGCACAACGGTACCGAGGCAGCATCCTTGGAGTGTGCCGTGGCTGGGCTCCTGGGGGGCTGGACCCATCCTAGCCTTGCAGGCTGGAGCAGCTAGCAAGAGTGCAGGGGAGGATGCCGAGTGGGAAGCTTTCCTCCCTCCATGATGCCCGAAGCTGTTCATTCCTCCATGCCAGGCTGCTGGTGAAGCCGAGAGCCTGCGCTTCCATGCCAGCTTGCGATTTAGGCTCATGGTCATGGAGCTGCTGGCCCCGAGCGTGTTTTCTCCCCGCCACCCGCTGCCAGCTCCTCTTGCACGCCGCCTCCCACAGACTCCCACACCGGGTGCTGGCGCCTGCCTCTCCCAGCTGGGCTTGGCTCCTGGCTTTGCAGG